ATTTTATAGGAGATCGTCAGTGCTTTTCCGGAAATTCAAGCGGCCAGTGTAGACAGCTGGCAAGTTTTTCCGCAAAATCATCAGCCTCATTGTACGAGCAGTAAGGGAAATCCAAGGAAGAGGGCTCTGTTTCAAAATAAGTGCTGTGAAGATGCTCCCTATTTCGAAATAAGCTACGCAATTGACATAGCTCAATTTGCATAGCTTATTTCAAATTAAGCCCTGCAGTGTCCCTGCACTGTTTGACCCCGGAGGAGCCAAAGTCTGCTTTCCTGAAGTCCAGGGTGTGTATTTTGCGGCTCTCCTTTGTTCCTTTTGTCAGGATCCTGAACTCGACCATCTCATGATCACTGCTTCTCATGTTGCCACCCACATCCACTTCCCCTACTAATTCCTCCCTGTTTGTGAGCAGCAGGTCAAGCTGCGCAAATGACAGGGGATGGATCACTCTAAAATTGCCCTGTTTTGCTCATTCCAACAAAAGTATCTCCACAGACCACTGTTGGAAGACAGGACACTGGGCTAAAAGGACCATTGGTTTGACCCTGATGATGCTGCTGCAGACAAACATTTTCCAGGGGATTCTTGTGCCACGGAGCTATCAGAGCTACCCTAGCAGAGATCCAGGCCTGGTGAGGCTGGGAGATGGATAGGGGATGGGTGCTACGAGGAAAGGGTGTGGACCTGTAGCATGAATGACAGAGGGGGATGGACTGAGCTATAGCTGAGCTGGAGAACCAGTGGTTTATTTCCCCATTTCCCTCCATGAAACAAATTTGAGCCAAACTGAAATGTTTGGGTCCATTTTTGGGGTAAATTTTCACAGAGAACTGGTCGCTGGTCTCTGAACGCTCAGCTGCCATGATGCAGCCCAGGTACAGCTGCAGGTTCGAAAGAGCCAGTGGAGGCTTTTTCATCTGCTTCTTCCTCCTAATGCAAATGAAGGTGGCCGGGGTATTGGGTCCATCACCTGCTCTAACCAGCCTTCTTGCCTCTGTGCAGCCCCCTCCTTCCTGTGCAAAGATAAATGCCAACAGGCAGAGAGAGGCTGCTGTGACAGGCCCTAGTGGCCCATGTCTGGGAGCTGTAGAGGGTCCTAGAGCAGCTGTGGAGGCCCAGAGATTGTGGGTAGTTGGGCCCAGTGACCAGTGTATCACTGAGAACTGTGCATAATATTGGGGAATCCCTGGATTCTGGGTCCCTCTTTTCAAGGAAGGGACCTCAACTTCCCGCAGCAATCTGAGGGAAATTTCCATGTATGGAGCTTTGTGCAAATTTCCATGTATGGAGCATCCTTGTTAATACAGGATAGTGAATTATTGCAGAGAAATATGGTCATTCATTAATTCATTCATTTAGTTCGTTCGTTCATTATTTTGGTGAGATCCCAGCTGTAACAGCATCATCTTTACCATTCAGCTGCCCCGAGGCAGTTATGAGACTAATCAGAACCATATGTACAGTGCAGACAAGCCCTGATTCCAGGAATGGAGCCTGCAGCAGGACTGGTTCTGCAGGCCAGTTGTTTATCATCATCACCCATCCCCTGGGATTTGACCTCCTGCCATTTTCCATTGGCTGTGATGGGGTTAAAGCTGGTGCACATGAAGCCAAACAGCTGAGGTTCCCTGATGGCCAAGTGGCCCCACGGGGCGGTAAAAACATGCTGCATAAAGGCAGTTGCCTCCGTCTCTGAACACACACTGCCTGCTGCCCGTGCAACCTCTCCGATGACTCCTTGTGCTTTAGGGTGTAGACCTCTGGTGCCAGCGGCTCCCTTCTAGCAGGAACTGGGTAAGTTGGCAGGTTTCACGTTTGTTAAATTGCAAAGTGCAGGGCAAAGGCTGCAAGTTGTTTTCATTGGCAGATGTTCTGTGCAGAGGCAGAGGACTCAGCTGGGCTGTCGGGGTGATCCAGTGACAGAGCTGGAGAGCAGGCAGTGGTAAGAAGCTGGGAATACCCCTGCCACATCTGCCGATGCGCCATTGTGGGGTTTTTAGGCAACCCAGAAATTCCCAATGAGCCTGGAATGTTAAATGCTCAATGCTCAGAGTCAGGATTTCGTGGTGGGTCCCATTTCCAGAGGTGCCGTGTGCTCTGGGTGGGTTCCTGCCAAGGGCACCTCAGGTTCATTTTCTCCCAGAATCACAATCAGCAAATGTGTTTTCAAATCTTTGATTCCCTGAAGTGCTCACTGAGCAACAGCTTTGCTTGAGCTGTTGCTTCCCTTCTTGCTTGTTTTCCAGCAGCCTGCTGGTGAACTAGGAAGAGCCAGACTGATTTCACTCATTAGAACCATCTCTTATACGACCCCATAGTTAATCCAATGTAGCCTTATAGCAAACATTTTGAAGAACTAGGTTTAACCCACCCATTTGTTAGGGCAGTCCAGCTCCATGTCTGTTCCAGTGCCTCTGTCATGTGCTATGAATTTCATGTGTACAGGACAGACACAGAGACAATGGAAGCTGCTGGTGTTGATCTTCCAGGGTTCCAATGAGCAGGTCTCATGAAGACAGCTAATTTGAACTGAGAGGGGCACTGTGGTTAATGCCGGTAGCCCTGATTCCATGAGGAGTAAGGGAAGTCGAAGGAAGAGTGTTCCCCCTTCGACTTCCTGCTGTGTGGATGGTGCTAAAATTTGAGTTAAGATACTTCAACTTAAGCTACACAGTTAACATAGCTGAAGTTGAATATCTTAATTCAAACTTATCCCCTAGTGTAGACTTTCCTGATTGTCCCTGAAACTCACCCATACATATATCAACATGAAAGAGGATAGGTCTACAAACAGAGTTAATGCATATAAGTAATTTAATTTGTGTGCTGTGTCAGTGGAAATATCAACAACAACAAAATCTACTGCTTTTACAGATTGACAGAATAGAACCTGAGGAGAAGGAGTTGGCTATTAACCCTCGAGAGTGCCAGCCCACAGCATTTGATTTAGAGAGTCTTAACTAGACCTGCTAAATTGAATGTCAGATGATTGATCTTCAGTGTGGTAAGTATAGACACAGTCTGAGAAGCTGCTACATTTTAAGATCCCCTTCAGCCTGAGAAATGGTCTTTGAAGGAAGTTGAAAGGGGGAAAGAATGGGTTTGCATGTGTGTGCTAAAGTACAGTGTGGAAATAGTATACCAAACATGTCTCTGATGGCATGCATGTACATTGAAAGCCAGCAGCAGAGATGATGGAATTTCTACAAGAAGGACCTGACTTTTGCCTTAGAAAGTATAGAAGAACTCCCAAGACTGTTTGCAATTCTTTTGTGCTACTAGCTCTTTGTCCAGTAAAAACTTAAAACACAATAGCTACGTCTAGACTGGCAAGTTTGCCGTTAAAAGCATTTTCGGAAAAGAGCATCTAGATTGGCATGGACGCTTTTCCGCAAAAGCACTTTTTGCGGAAAAGTGTCCGTGCCAATCTAGACGCACTTTTCCACAAAAAAGTCCTGATCGCCAATTTCGCTATCGGGCCTTTTTTGTGGAAAACAAATCTGAGCTGTCTACACTGGCCCTTTGCGCAAAAGGACTTTTGCCTGAATGGGAGCAGCATAGTATTTCTGCAAGAAGCACTGATTTCTTACAGTAGGAAGTCAGTGCTTTTGCGGAAATTCAAGAGGCCGGTGTAGACAGCTGGCAAGTTTTTCCAGAAAAGCGGCTGATTTTCCAGAAAAACTGGCCAGTCTAGACACAGCCACTGAACGGTCCAGCAGCACCTTAGAGACGAACAAAAAATTTAGATTGTATCAGTGAACAGTTCCATAATATTGTCTCTTGGTAACTGACTAGAAGTTGTTTCTTGCACTTATCTTCAGGAGGTTCAGGAAGAGCATGCAAGTCCTGGGAAGAGGAGGAGAAGCCTGTAGGATGATCCATATCTCTGGATTGAGATAACACTGGCGGGCAAATCACTTCAGCTTCACTAGGAGGGATTCCCGGGGCTTAGAGTCGATCATTGGAAGCATTTACAGAGGGAAAGTTAAGAGAATTGGATTGAATTTACACCTATAAATCTGTACTGATGACCTTGCAGTCACTGTTAGGCTACATCTAAACTACATGCCTCTGTCGGCAGAGGCATGTAGATTTGTTTTTTTGGCAAAGGCAAATGAAGCCGCGATTTAAATGATCAGCTGTTTGTCGGCTCAGCGCGGCAGCCATGTAAATGTAAATGAAGCCGCGATCATTTAAATCGCGGCTTCATTTTCCTTTGCTGATCTGTCTAATCTACATGCCTCTGCCGACAGAGGCATGTAGTCTAGACACAGCCTATGGGAGAGAAACAGGCTTAGTGAAATAGGAACCCCTAAGGTTTTCCACCTTCTACTGCAAAGAGGCACTGGCATAATCTGGACTCTCAGGAGAGGAGAAAATATAAAAAATATAGAATGAGGCAATGCCACCCATTTATGAACTGACTCAATGTAAGGCAAACAAAGTGAATGTCTGTTTTCACCACACATGTGCCGTATGTTTGCACACGTCATGCGACAGTGGAGAAAAGAATGGCCAGAATAGATGTCTGTGGGATGGTCACAAATGTAAATTCACACAGTGCTCAAGTTGGCTGCGGAACTCCCAGCCACATGATACCTAAAGGTCTAGGTGCTTAGGGGGATACAAAGAGGGACTGGATGTTTATCTTGAAAACTAGAAAATCCAATTACACTGGAGAGGGCAGATTTAAAAACTCTTGGAAGAACTCTAAACATTCCTGATTTACACTCCAAAATGTGTCTAATTTATGGGAGTGTGGGGGGGGGGGAACATTCTGCAACAGCAGGTTTGGTCCGACCTGCCTATTGCAACGCCTCTTCCTCCAAAGCACCTAGAACTGGCTGTAAATGCAAAAGTATGACTGATCTTCCTTGAGCTCCTGAGTGTGTAGTAAGCTGCACCGAGAGAAGAAAACTGTCTCATTAAATATCATTTAGACTCTTCTTGTTCCTTTCAGGAAGAAAAGGTCCAAGCTCCTTGTATCTGCTCAGTACATGATGTCAGCTGTCAATGACACCATATTCTCACATACCGTGTTCCTTCTCACTGGTCTACCTGGGCAGGAAGACATCTATCTATGGATCTCTATTGTCTTCTGCTTAATCTACGTTATTTCAATATTAGGCAATTCAGTCATTCTGTTCATTATAAAAAGAGATCCAGGCCTCCATGAGCCCATGTACATTTTCCTTTCCATGTTGGCCCTCACAGACCTTGGCTTATCGATAGCCACTATACCAACCATAATGGGCATATACTTCTTTAACTTTAAGGAGATTAGCCTCCATCCCTGTATTGCCCAGATTTACTTCATTGCTGTGCTTCAGTACGCTGAATCTGCCGTGCTCTTGTTCATGTCCTTCGACCGCTTCATCGCCATCAGTGACCCGCTGAGATATGGTTCCATCTTAACCCTGCCCAGAATAGCCAACATGGGGCTGGTGTGTGTGCTAAGAGCACTTGCCATAGTACTCCCGCTTCCTCTTTTCCTGAGACAGTTCCAATACTGTCGAACCAATGTCCTCTCCCATTCCACCTGCCGGAATGAGGACATGTTGAAGTTGGCTTGTTCGGACACCAGAGCTAGCAGCATGTACGGCTTGATCATTAAGATCTTAACAATGGGGATGGACTTGCTGCTCATCTTCGTCTCTTACGTGATGATCCTCAAAACGGTGCTGAGCATCGCGTCCCAAGCAGAGAGTCTGAGGGCCCTGAACACCTGTGTCTCCCACCTCTGCGCCGTCATGCTCTTCTATGTACCAGAGTTCAGCTTGTCGGTGATAATCAGGTTCGTGAAGGACAGTTCTCCTTTGCTTCGGATTCAACTGGGCTATGTCTCCATGCTTGTCCCACCCCTAATGAACCCAATCGTGTATAGTGTGAAAAGCAAACACCTTCGTACAAGGATTATCAGGGCATTCATCAAATAACGGGTCTGTTCATCGCCCCTCCCCATGACAGGTGACACCGAAGAGAAAAACTATATTCCATAGTCACCTCTTCCATCCTGGGTCATCACTTCTGAGAGGACATGAGCAATTGGATTCCACTATGGAGAGAGAGGTTCAGATGGACTCTAAGACCTGGGGTGTTGGTCAAGGGGCTGTCCCCACATGCTGGTGAGGGAGGACAGTGCATGGGGGAACGGAAACTAAGGCAGCCAGCACCATTTAAATATCCTGCGCTTCATTTGC